GGCGGTGGCTCCATGGCCCGGGCGCGCTGAGGGACGCGGCTCTCGCCTCAGCCCGGCGGCCGAACAATGAAGCTCCTGAAGCCGACCTGGGTCAACCACAATGGTGAGTGAGCGCAGGGATCGGGGGAGGCTCAGTCGGAAGCAAGGTCGGGGTCTGGAGTCGGGTCGGAACCGCGCGCAGGCCCTGCCCGCCTCGCTCTCGACGCTCGGTGTCCGGTGCCAGAGCTGCGGGACCGGAGGGAACGGACTTTGTCCTCGGCGCGGGGAGACCAGCGAACCCGGGCACGTGCTCTTCTTGGCCGTAGCGAGGTATGCCTCCGCCCCCAGTACTTGGGCAGAGCCCTTGGCCGCCCACCCGTGGTTCGTGGAAGCGCCGCGGCCTGCCTCCAGGGAGCGGCCCTTGAGCGCGAGCCAGCTCCTGCCACTCGTCTGCATCAGCCAGGATGTGCTCAGATGGTCCAGTGTGTGTAACCGGGGTGCCATCCCCCTTGTGGCCTTTCAGTGGCGGGGTGAAGACCTGAAATTTTCACGTTTCTGCTCTGCTGTAGCGGCAGTTACCGCCCCTGCTGAGACCTTGATCTGGTGACAGTGCCCTCACTTGGGGGACTATGGCTCGGGGCTGAGGTCCCCCAGCCGAAGGAACCACGTTTATGCTGAGCTGGGGCATTAAGATGGCTTGGGTTGGTGCCCATAAGGCACAGGTGTGTTCTAGGAAGAGGGGCTTCCTTAGCTCTGCGGCAGTGGCCCCAAAGCACACCCTGGGTGAAGACTCTTCCAGTCCTCAGGTTGAGAACAGACTGGTATATAGAAGTCTGTGGCAACCAGCAGTTTTGTCATAGTTCTACCTTGTTGGCACAACTGCTGCAGGCATTAGTCCTAGCTCCCCAGAGGTGAGGGAGAGAGCACCCATTTTCTTCCTGACAGCAGTGAAGCCCAGGGAACGTTCCTCCAGCATAAGGCCTGTAGCCCTTATTCCAGCCAGCCTGTCTACTGATAGGCAAAGGGTCACCCTGATTCTGTCATGTACCTCATTTCTACTTTGCAGTGGAACTAGAAGGAGCTATAGTTTTCTTTTAGAGGGAGTGCATGCTTTTGCACCCTATGGGTGTACTTTTCAGTTTGAACCTCATCTTAGGTTGCTCTTTACTACTGCAGCTGAGCTGAACTGAATGTCTATGTTCTTCGGGTCAGAAATGCTCTCCCTTTCCATCCTCTTGTGTGACATCTTTCTAATTTTTCGGGGCCCAGGTGAGGTCACCTTTTCCTTTTGTTACCATTTCTCCTGAGTTACTCCACTAGATGTGCTCTGTCCCTATGGGTGTACTTTCCATATGCCCCTAGGGCAGAGACTGCCTCGTGTCCCTCTATTCCCTGCCACACTCAGCAGTGCCTTTCACATAAAGGGTGTATGATAAATGTTGGCTAAAACAGATAAAGCTGAGGTTTCTGTAATTTATGAAGACACCACTAGGTTTACTGTGCCTGAAAGCAAAAGCTGTGAACTTTAGTTTCATTTTTCCTGTGTTGATCTCCAAGAGCATTTCCTGATAGGTAGTATGCAGATCTTTCCCTGGAGAACTGGGCAATTATTCAGTAATTATAAATTATAGTGCTTATGAATCAGGAAAGGAAAATTTTCATTATGAACTAGTTTGCTGTGTAAGTGAAGATCTAAAAGAATTTTTATTTTAAAATAAAAATTTCGCTTAGATTAGTTTGTATAGTCAGTCTATCCTTCTCCAGTCTCTGGTCTACTTTCTGCCATATAATTTCTAACTTTATGATAAGTTCCTTTGTAGGACTGAAGTTTTGTTCTGTGTTAAGGATAAGAGACTTAAGCAATTTATCTAAGTACAAAACAAGCGAGAGTCTACAACCAGGCCAGCAGCCAAATGTCCCAGCGTGGCAGAGTGGACACAGCAGTAGGCCCTAGCCTCTTGTTGCTGCGGCCTCTCCACAGTTCTAGGATGGAACGTGATGAGATCTGCTCTGCCTTCTTCACAGTACAATTGTGATGTTTAGTTGGGAAGGTAGACACAAAAGTGCTCTCAAGACTATCAAGTGCTTTAGAAATCTAAGAGATAATAATAATAAGAATTGATACTTCAGCTGAATTTAACTTCTTTTAAACTTCTTCTCTGTTAAATTTCCTTTTTTAAAAAAATGTGAAAACCTCAAATGTTCAGAAGAACTGTCAGGGTAAATTACCACTAACCTGAAGGACATGAAATTGGTCTGGATCACTGCTGAGCTGTCCTTGAAAAACTGGTGAATAGTGAGAGCTGCTAGGGGTGGAAGATGCTTAGCCATAGGCTAGATTGGTGGGTAGTAGCCAGTAGAATCCTGCTTACTTTGGATTAAAACCCAAAAAGATCATGGTGCTTTGGGGAGTGCATCAATGTACTTTCTGGCTTCCTGACTCTGTATTCATGTCTCCTGATTTGTTATGTGGCTTGAACAAACTTTTTCTGGTATCTGAGAATCCAGAGAGGGAAGGAGCAGAGAGACCAGCAATTTCCCCATGGTGTTGGAAAGGGCAGCTAGAATAGGACAGGTTTAAGGCAAAGAGAAGTATATGTTGGGGTGTAGGCATTCTTTCAGTCTTTATTATCCTGGCCTATAATAGTGATAAGACCTTTCCCCTAAGATAAGGTTTCTCAGCTTCAGCACTGTTGATATTTTGGGCCATATAATTGTTATGGAGACCATCCTGTGTGTGGTGGGATGTTAGCCTCCCCAGCCTCTATCCATCAGATATTAGTAGCCCTCTACCACTCCCTGCCCTACACACACAGTTGTGACAACTAAAAATGTCTCCAGACATTGCCAATGTCCCCTGGTTGCCAGAATTACCCCCAATTGAAAATCACTGCTCTATGGTGATCAGTAAGTTAATAAATCTCGACATTGTCCTAGCATAGTGAAACGAGCCTTGAGCATGGGATCAGACTGGGATCAAGATGCCATTATTTATTAGCTGTAAATTCTTGGGCTTGTGACTCTTGGGCCTTGGCAAAGTTGAATAAATATAAAGATTCACCTCTATCATTTCACCTTGTACCCAGATATAAAAGATTGTCTTAAAATAATGTATATAGTAAAAGCTAATAATATTTATAATTTACGTAGAAGTTATGTGCCAGGCACTGTTCACACATGTGTTTTACTCTGTGTTCTTAGATACAGCATTCCTTATATATTTAATTTTATTTTAGGCTTGGCCAAAATAAGTTTCATTTCTGAGTTAGATTATGACCATATATTGGTCAGAAAGTGAAAGGGATAGGATTTTTGGTTGTAGAAAAATGTAGTTTGTATTTGTATCTTTAGAAAATTTCATTGAGATTCATGGTTCTTTTAGCCCCCAGGCCTTTGTTCCTAAGTGTTTTTTCTGGGATTCTCATGCCTGGGCAGACAGTGTTCATCCTCAGCTCTTCAGTGAAGCCCATTCAACCCGGAGAAACAGGACTGAAAGAACTCTCATCTGTCTTTGGCTTCTGGCTCACATTTTGACGGCAGTGTTGAAAAGGTGTTTGGCAAATTTTTAATGCTGGGATAATTTGTCAATTAATCACATTGCTTTATGATGTGTGTTTTCTCTCCTGTCCTGTGATTGCATTACTTTTTCCCCCTAACCTGTCTCATTCCAGAAAGGATTTTAAGATATCCTACTGAGACATATACTACCTCTGGATAAAAATAAGTCTAATTGAAGGGAAAATGTAAGCTGGATGATGCAATAATGAAGTCAGGACTGGGTATGGAAAAGCCCTGCACAGCTGCTGGAGGAGCACTGCAGACTTGTCTCTGAGAATAGGCTGGGAGGGATCCTAATGGTGACATTTTATGATCGCAGTGGTTGTTAAGGTAAACTTTGCAGTTGGCTCTAGATCAGGCATTCTCAAACAGGCCGATGTCTGGAGACAGTTTTGATTTTTATAACTGAGGAGTGTGGGAACTATTGGTATCTAGTGTGGAGAAGACAGGACTGCTGTTGGACACCCTACGGCACATAGGACATTCTCCCACAACAAAGAGTCATCTAGTCCAAAATGTCAGTAGTGCCGAGGTTGAGAAATCCGGCTGTAGTTAAGAACAACTTTATTGTTATTTGTCTTTTCATGTATTTGTCTCATCATTCTAACTAGATTGTAAGCTTCTTGGAGGAACAAGAGTTTTGCATTTTATTTTGGAGTCAGTCCTGTTCTTGAGTCTCCGTGCTCTCCTGCTTTACCAAATATGTGTCATGGAAGTTTCTTTTTGTCTCTTTTCTTAATCTGTCAAATGAAGCCAACAACACCTGCCTGAC